AATGACGATGTGGCACAAGTTTGTACAGGACCATGTGTGCATATACCTCTACAAGAACCATTGACCTAGATTTCCGAATTCCAACCTTACAAGTAATGCAGGAGAGGCACTAACATTCTCAGTACTATCTGATCAGACTTGCAGTATGGGTGGTTATGATGTATGGCAAGCTGCTATTTATGTGCTTAGGCTGAACATGTATTTTACTTTGCAAATGTTCACAGCCTTCAGGTCAACTTGTCATCAGGTCAATCTTACAGCACAGAAGGTCATTCGGCGCATTGTGCCTGTTTCGGCTCTTTGAAAGAGCTACCAACTGGTTCCACTCCCCCGCTCTTAACACATAGCCCTGCATTTTTTTGTCTTTTTAAGTACCTATCCAAATAGTTTATATATTGCTGTTTATATATTACTGATTTGAATACTGCACCAACCAATTTTTATTGCACGAGCCAGATGCAATAGTTGGTGAGACTTTATCCATTCCTACCTTGATTATGGCACAAACGATAAAATAGCCCATTAGTCAATCACCAAAAACATAATAGTTAGTGCTGCAGAGGATCATGAATCAACTACTATCTCTCAGGTTTTTCCACTTCTTCAAATCATATCCTGCTGGGTAGATGCCAGTATGTACTCATTTTTTATCAAATTCTCTATTCCTTCAGTGAGATCATATTCTTTTGTGTGGTTTGGAATAGAGGTGCGGAGAATGTCACTATCCTTGGTTTCTCTGTTTCACTTATACTATATAGTCATGATCGCTCCCAAAAGAGAGACATGTTCAAATGTCTGATTCCGGTATGGTAAAGGGCCTAAGCATAATGACATATAATGGAATATCAGATTATCTACTCATGACACATAACTAACAGTTCCATCTGTTAAGTGTCAGGTTCCTTCAGTAACTATAAACAGTTGTTAATGCAAGAATAGTAACAAACTACAACAATAAGAACTTGCCTTTATATAGCACCTTTCACGCAGGTAGTATCTTGAAGCACTTAACAGTAGTGTGGTTGACGCCGAGCTGGAAAGAGAGGGGAGGTGATCGAAGGCACAGTCGAAGAGGAAAGTCTTCAGGTGTTGCATTATTATTCCATCCAGAAAATTGGTAAAATTGGGAGCACAACGAAGGGATTGAGGCAGGGAATTCCAGAAATTCAAGGCATCGTTGCAACCCAAAAACCTGAGAGATGGTAGTTGATACATGATCCTCTGCAGCACTAACTATTATGTTTTTGGTGCAATAAGAATATTTCAGTATTCAAATCAGTAATATATAAATATGGCATATCAGTAGGACTGGGATCGCAACTAGAACAGTTCTCATAGTAGTTGAAAGTGCAGCCCTCAATGGTGGAGCAGCGAGGATGAGAAACGTGCAGTTTTCAAAACACAATGGGGGTGAAGGCAGCTAATGAAGTTGAGGAGGGCAGTACTGGTCAGGCACCTGATGCGGGGTAGGGAGGATAATTAGGAATTGAACTTTACGCTAAGGTTGTGTACAGGTTTGGTGAGTCTGAAGGATTGGCAGGGAAAGTCAAAGAGTTCAGAACCGCAGGTGAGAATGTGTTGACAAGGAGCCATGGACGATAGCTTCTGTCTTGTCTGCATTCAGCTCTGTGGATCATCAAGGTCTCGATGTCAGACAAGCTGACAGTCAGAACATCGGTAGGACTGGGATCGCAACTAGAATAGTTCTCAACCAAAATAGATTTGGGTATCATTTGCATAACTGCTAACAAAAGCCTGCTGCAAGTCCCCTGTCCCTTCCACCCCACCATCGTCCTGCTCCCCCTGAAAAATGCTGTCATTATCCCTCTCCTTTAAAAAAAAAGCCCTGTTCTGTCAAACTTTGTTAACCACCAGCCCATCTCAAGCCTACCCTTTCTAAAGTCCTGGAATGCTTCATCGCAACCCAACTTCGCTCACACCTTTTCTCCCACTCCCTGCTCAAGCCCTGTCAGTCTGGTTTCTGCCCTGCTCACAGCACTGAGACTGCACTCGTCAAGGTTATAAATGATGTGCTCTGTGACCAGGACTTAGTGACTTTTTGTTTTGTAGGTGATTGTGGAAACCAGTTTGCACATAGTACTGTCTGACAGCCATGAAATCAGTGCTATATGGGTGTTGTATGATTTTAAATGTACTCCTGGAGGATGCCTAGTTACAAATTCTATTCCAGATTGTATGTGGATTTGGTTGGAGTTTTCATTGCTACCTCCTCACTATTTGCTTCAGCAGAAATATTCACTTGGAGCCAAGCAATTTGTGTGGAGCAATTTCAAGCAGCACTATTGATGTACCTATACTGCAGCAAACTTAGATGTGAATAACTGAGTTCCATAGGTGTATTCTGTAGTGCAGACTGCAGTGCAGTGATGTCATGACAATGCTGTATCACTATCAATACACACAGTGGATTTAAGTCTCCAGATCAGCAATTACGCAGTGCAGAGTGGAAACTACATTGCAGTAAGAAATGCCACGTAGCCATGGTTTTATTTAACACTGCAGTGGTCGTAGTCATACAGTTACTTGCTGACTAAAAAGGACAAGTCAATGACTGTTAGTTTACCGGTCACTTCCAAAATCAAAATGCAGAAGGGGTGGCAGGACTAGAGATAAGAAGCGCCCTTAGGAACCATGAATATTTTTAGTATTGAATTTCATTGCAAGCTAATGAACTTTGCTTTCATTTTTAATATTAGGTGGAAATACAGCATTGCAATACAGTTTTTTTTTCACATTGTGCCAATCAAGTAACTAGAAACGTTTTTACTTTTCTGTTTCTTGAGCATCCCTTTAGTTAGTATTGATTTAAGCAAAGCGAGTGGTTGGTTTGTATTCTGGACTGGATTTTCTGATGGTCCTGTTATTAAAAAATGTTTTATAGTGGAAATGAGTTTAAAATATGAAGCATGCCTATTGTTTAGAGGCATTGAACTTTACTGCAAAGAAAGTTCATTGTGTTTGTGCTGCTTCTGCCAGAGCAATCCATTCAGTCCCATTTACTTGCCTTTTGCCCATACCCCTTGTAGGTTATTCCTCTTTAGATGTTTATTTAGTTCTCTCTTGAAAGCTAACATGGATTCAGTCTCCATCACTGCTTCCGCAAGGCATTCGACATCCTAACAAGTGTGTGTACAAAAAAGACTCAATCGCCCTTTGCTCCCTTAGTAATTAAATTAAATTGATACCTTCTAGTAACTGATCCATCAGTGAGTCAGAAAAAAATTCTATCAAAATTTCTCATTCTTTTAAAGATCTCTGTCGATGAAAATAGGCCCAATTCCTCTATTATCTATTCATATATCAATGAGTATTGAGATGCCATCCTTGGCATCACCCGAGTAAATCTCTACTGTCTCCCAAATAGCATCCTTCCTAAATTGGGGTGACGAAAACTGGACATAATACTCCAATTGAGTTCTGACTAACAATTTATATAAGTGAAGCATTCTTTCTGTTCCCTGTGATAGGAAATGTGCACAAACAAGTGGTTTCTTATTAAGTAATCCACATTTTTGTAATTTACTGAAACTAAAAATTTTATAAAGAGGTCAATATTTAAGTTTGGGTTCCTCTACAAAAAAGGAAGCTGCTAAAAACTGTAGACTGACATAGCCCTGGGTGTTTGAAAGCTAACTGTTTGCAAAGCAATGATGATTAATTTCAGTTTGTCTAAATAATAGGATTATAACTGTTTCTCCCGTCTGTCACCCTCACACACTATAGCTGGATGAGGAAATCAAAAGGGAGGAACTTTTGTTTAAGAGATTCATTTGTATGTAGCACCATGTTTCGGCTTATCTATATCGAACATCTGTTGCATACTCTTATTAAGCTCCCTTTATAACACCTTTGCTCAATCCTCTGATTGCATTGCAAACGCTACTTACACTTGATGCTTTACTTTGCCAAACCTGGATAGTCACATATCTTTGGGTAATTGCCAAGTAAGATCTTCCATTCGGATACTGAGTATGTGTTTGCCTGGGGCACTGTTTTTGTGAAAAATTTTGATTTATATCAAATTCTGGCTTCAAACTTGGATTGACTGCAGGGATGTTTTTCCTTGGGCCACATAGGGTAGAAATAAGATCAGAAAACATTTTTTCAGACTTAGAATGCACTGCTTTAGAAGGCTGTAGATGTCGAATTGATTGAGATTTATAAAAGAGAAATACTGGAATATGGAGAAATGGTGGGGAAATAGGTTTACAGGTCTGCCATGATCAAATAAATGGTTCAATGAGTTGAATGGTCTTATCCCGTTCCTGCAATTAGTTATATCTAGTGCTTTTATATAGATCCCACTTGCACCATCATTCGTGATCTACAGAGCTTCCAAGGATGGCCAACAAATGGTCCCTAGGGGTGAAGAATTTATAAAGTTGCTGTTAGCTAAATTAGCAACTATGATTATGATTACATTGTTATCATAAAAAGAGCTCCACAATGTATGTAGAAGATTATTTTCTGTAAACCACATTCTTCTGCAACCGATAAATCTAGAATCTCTGCCACCAATGGAATTATTTTCCTCTTCAGAATGCCTTCCACACCTTTCTGTCCATGTATCGCTATGCCTGAAACCGTGATGAACCAACCACAGCCTTAATCTGTCTCGAGAACATTAAACCAGTGAAGTGTTGAAAACAAAGTCTTACAATTTTAGGAAAAACTGACTTTATATTTTCTTCATAGTGCTGTTCTTTAGTTCACTGATTTTGGGGTCCTTCAGTAGTCAAATCAAACATTGTAAGTACAATAGTCACTTGATACAAAATGCTGGTATTGCCTTGAAGAGATGTTAACATGGTTCCCACTACTTTTAAAAATATTGAGGTAACTGTCTTAGGAAACATATTATTTACCAGGGACATTGGAGATTTGCAGCAATTTGTTTTTCTTTGCTCAATGTAGGCATTATGACACCAGTGTTGTTTGGAAGGCACAGAGAAGTTACCAACTATTATTTTGTCTTCTAGGAGAAACCATTGTCCAGATCTTTGCAAAGAGGTGAAGACTCACAATTTGATCAGGTAAGGAATGGTATTGGCATTTGATTGTTGTATGTGATTGTCAATGGCTGAGACGCTTGAATTTACTCTACTTCTTACGAAAAATTCTACTACTTGTGAAAATGCAGGATGGCTGTTTCTTATTAATATAATTCAGAATTAACTTCATTAAGATTGATTGTGTGATAAATCTTCGGCCATAAGCATGTAGCATCATATTGCTGTGGAAACATATTTTCTACTGACAGACTAATTTGTACAAAGCATTACTGCAAGTCTTGTAGTTAATGACAATGTTAACTGTAATGGGATCATTAATTAATTCAGACAGTAAATCATTTTCATTTAAAGCAAGAAAAAAATACGCTTTGGTTCCTTGCCTTTCACCAAAACATTGATTAGTTTGTTTTGTGGTATTAGTATAGATGACATTAAACGATGATGTGAATGAAAGAGCTGTCAGATTTGTAGTGGACTGCAAAATTAAATGAATACCATTATTTGTCTCTCCTTCAATTTATATGTGCAAGAGAAGATTGGCAACCCCATATGGGTTACAAATGATTTAATTAATGTGTTTTGTTTCCATCTTATGATAAGGAAAACCATAACATCAAGAAAGTATTTGGGTAGGAGTTAGATTTTGAACCTTGTGGTTTTAGTAAACCAGAGATGCTTCTGTGCCATGAGATAATTTGACGTAAATTTCACTGCAGTTGTGAAAAATGTAAAAGCTTATGTAGTGTAAAACAACCAAGGAGAGAGAATGAAAAAATTTTATACCGTGGATCCATTGAAAGGTTGCTTCATAAAATATTAATAAGCTTCAATGTGCAGTTTCCAAAACAAAAGGCTATGTGATATGAGTAATGCGTGGTTGCTTTGGGTGCGAGCCAGCTGAAATCTATCCTTGTAAGTCCATTTTGTGTCATAAACAAGCTTTGATGCTCCCAGAGAAGCCGACAAATCTAATAGAATTTGTGGTGGTAGCAATTCTACCTCTAAGGTGCAATGCAGGTAGGAACATAGGAACAAGACAAGGCCATTCAGCCCTTCGAGCCTGTTCCACTATTTAATTAGATGATCTGTACCTCAACTAATCCTTTCAATTCCAATTTCCCGCTTTTTGCCCATATCCCTTAATACCCTGACTTATCAAAGATCTATCAACCTCATTTTTGAAGGTGTGGATGGATCCAGCATCCATGGCCTTTTGTGGAAGAGAATTCCAGATTTCTACCACCCTTTGAGTGAAAAAATGCTTCCTGATTTCACTCTTAAATGGCCTGGTTCTAATTTTAAGACTATGACCCTTGTTTTGGATTCTCCTACCAGAGCAAATAGCTTCTCTGTATCTACCGTATCAAATCCTGTTATCATCTTAAACACCTCAATCAAATCACCCCTCAACCTTCTGAACTCAAGGGAATAAAATCCAAGTTTACACAGCCTTTCTTCGTAACTTAGCCCTTTAAGGTTTGGTCACGTTCTGGTGGACCTGCACTGCACCCTCTCCAGGGCCAATATATCTTTCCTGAGGTGTGATACCTAGAACTGAATGCAGTACTCCAGATGGGGTCTGACTGACGCTCTATTCAGCTGACGCATCGTCTCTTCCCCTTTGTATTTCAGGCCCCTTGAGATAAAGGCCAACATTTCATTCGCCTTTTTGATTACTTTTTGCACCTGGATATGGACACCCAAATCCCTTTGCTCGTACACAGTTCTTAATTTCTTCCTTTAATAAAATATTCTGCTTCATTGTTTTTCCATCCATAGTGGATGGCCTCACACTTCCCTACATTGAATTCCATCTGCCACAGCTTTGCCCACTCACTTAATCTGTCTTAAGTCCCTTTGTAACTTCCTACTCCCATCTACACAACTTACTGAGCCTCCTAGCTTAATGTCGTCTGCAAACTTGGATATAAAACTTTCTAGTCCTTCATCCAAGTCATTCATATATATATATGGGGTCCCAGTCCAGACCCCTGAGGAACACCACTTGTCATATCCCGCCAATCAGAGAACGTTCCCTTTATCCCTACCCTCTGTTTCCTGCCTCCCAACGAATTACCAAGCCACGTCACAAGGTTACTTTTGACTCCATGCGCTTCCATTTTTGCTCATAATCTTTTGTGTGGAACCTTATCAGATGCCTTCTGAAAGTCCATATAAACAACATCCATAGACATGCTCTTATCCACCATTTTAGTGACCTCCTCAAAAAATTCAACTGGATTAGTCAGACATGACCTACCCTTCACAAACCCATGCTGACTCTCTTTGACTGGCTCATATCTGTCCAAGTGTTCAGTCACTCTGTCGCTGATGATGGATTCCAGTATTTTCCTCACACTTCCCTACACTGACATTAAGCTGACAGGTCTGTAGTTCACTGGTTTCTCCCTCCCTCCCTTCTTAAATAAAGGGGTGACATTTGCAATTTTCCAATCTCAGGGCACAATTCCCAAATCAAGGGAGCTTTGGAAAATTATGACAAATGCATCTGCAATTTCCTCTCCTATTTCCTTTAACAACCTGGGGTGGAAACTGTCAGGTACTGGAGATTGGTCTATCTTGAGTTTCATTATTTTCTCTATTTACCATTTTTTTAGTTATATTAATTTTATTAAGCATTTTTCTTTGACTTATTTTTAGGTAACCCTGTACAGCTGGTATTTTGTCCTCATCCTCTGCTATAAAAACGGTAGCGAAGTATTTATTTAACAAGTCAGCCATTTCCTTATTTTTCGTTAAAAGTCTCACCTACAACTGTCTTTAACAGACCCACATTTTCCTTGACCATTCTCTTAATATATTTATAAAAGGTTTTATTATTGGTTTTAATAACCCTTGCAAGTTTTTTTTCACACTCCCTTTTTACTCTTCTTATTACTTTCTTTGTATCCCTTTGTTGCCTTTTGTAGTTCTCCCAGTCCTCTGCATTTCCATTTTTTCTTGCAGTTGAGTAAGCCTTTTAGCTTAATACAGTTCACTCTTTTGTCCACCATGGTTGCTTAACTACCCGATTGGAGCTTTTGCAAGTTAAGGGTATGTACTTGTTCTGTATTGTATCAAATACTTTTTTGAATACTTCCCATGTTCATCTGCAGGTTTACCCACTAACAGTTCAGACCAGTTTACACATTTTATAATAGTTATTGTAAATTATAGTGAATATTTTTTGGAAACAAACTAGGTGGCCATTTAATGTATCGCATCATTGAGACATCTCATAGAATATATTGTAAAGTGGATTGTCTGCGTATTTTGTGGCTGAGAATCCTAAACTCAAGTTTATGGTTTTAGCCAACTTGCTAAAGCCTGAAATGACACAATGTTCAATTGACTTTTATACAGTTTTATTTATAGTTTGTGTTGATGTATGCAGCTGGAAATCGATCTAGATTCAGAAAAGGATTTTTCCATCCTCTCGGTTTAACTGATGAACAATCTTGTTCTTTTCCAGTACTGTCGCCAAAGTAGGTATATTAATGCAGAACTAAAATCTAATTTGGCAGTATAGAATGAGATCAAGACTGTTCATCAGTCATTAAGACCCTGGTGAGACATTTTTTTTGCCTAATGATCAATTTCTGGTTGATCTGCAAACAGAAAATACACAAGGGCTTTCAGTGTCTATCACCATCTGTACTCGTGTGCAGGTACATTTCATAAAATGCGATGTAGTTTGTTTCAACTTAATTTACTTCTGGAGAATGTCAATGCAGCTTGAGAATTGTAAGGTTAAGCATTTATCAAAATAATTAGCTGGATGTAGAGTTTTTTTTGGTAGCGTGAGCAAACTTTTGGTAAAGCTTAATGATTCTTAGTGATTCCTCTCTTCTCTGCTGCCCCACACACCACTATTTTCTATTGAGCCACTTGAAAATACTGCCACCAAAGAGTTCAGTGCAGCTGTGGGGTTAACCTGGCTTGTGGACCCTTGTGGCGGTTAGGAAATTTATGTTTTTATTGAAACAACAAAACATTTTATACAGATATTTTCTAGTATTGAGTGGGAGAGTACTTTGAAAGTACTTCCTTATACTTTTTTCCTGTTTTAAAAAACATATTAAATACAGGTTGTTGGCACCTTTCATGATGTACTACTGCTAAGAACTGAGAGAATTACAATTGAGGTCAGAAAGCGTTTTTTTTCACATAGCGGGTTGTGAAGATGTAGAATGCTCTTAACCCAGAAAGCTATAGAAGTGCAATTAATATGGATGTTTAAAAAGAGACAGGCAGATACTTGGATATGGGAGGGATGTCCCAAGACACTGGACAGTCGGGTTTGCAACCGAGCTGATTCAAGAAGGGTGGAGAGCAAGGGGGTGGAGCAAGGGGGCACGGTCAAAAAGAAGGTCTTGAGATGGGCCTAGAAGGAGGCGAGGGAGGGAGTGAGACAATGGGATTCCAAGATGGAGTTCCAGAGGATAGGGTTAGAAAGACTTAAGGCCCGACTGCTGATGGTGGGGCGGGCAGGGTGAGGGAAAGGCACTATATAAATGCAATTTGTTGTTGTTAAGAGACATGGCGCAAGGTCAGGGAAATGGGATTTAAACATTGCTGAGATCTGATAAACCAGATAAATCTAATAAACCAGCTTGATGTGCTGAATGGCCTGTTCCTGTTTTCCTAGGTTCCTATATCAAATTCATTAATGCACTCACTCCCAAACAAACTAAGCATCTTAAGTGCAGTACATTTTGTATGGATAAACTGATTTTCTTCTAATTCATGAAGTCATGGGCCATTGCAGATTCTCCTCGCTGCATGCTTTCCTACTCGATATTCTAATGAAATAGAAAAATCCATTCCTTGGACAAGAGGGGTTGCTGCATAATGGGAATTTATCTTTAATATTTATCTTAATATCTTTTAAGAGTTCTCCTGTCCAATTTTTTTAAAAAAATAAAAGCAATATTGCTAGGTTGAGGAGTAGCTACACCCCCCACCGCCCCCATACAAAGTTATGGTGACTTCAGTAAATTGCAAAGTTTGTTAGTTAAAGG